GGAAATACAAAGAACAAGCAAAAGCAGTTGAGCCGCCTTGCGGTATGCAATAAAAAGCAAATGTAACGCAAAATGTTATTACGTATACGCCATGTGCGCGTGTGTGCGTCTATGTGCGAGTGCGTGCGTGTGTTGGTGTATGTGCGTGGGTGTCGCCAATGTCATGTTTGTCTTTAAGTCCTGCTCTCTGCCTGCTTCACCCTCATATCCACTGATGTTTTTTCTGTTGGCGCGAGGCGCGCCCTCGCCTTTTAAAATGCCATTGGTTGCAGCTGCGCTCGATTGCCCTTCGCCCCCGCTGTGACCTTATGATCATTCGCTTGGCTAGCAGTTAAAGCTGTTTGGCCTGGTTTTGTGTTTCATTTTCGGATAATGGCATGCCGTTATATCCCAGTAGATTAAATTTACGCAACTATAAATATGCAGACCGAAATGATAGTAATGAGACACTAGACTCATTAATATTTAGGCTGGAAATAAGTTAAAATGGCTTAATATTAAGTTTCATTACTACTTACCGTAAACACTGCAAAGTATCTGATTATGACGTATTGTTAATGCTAGAAATTAGAAGTGAAAAATGCAATATCACAGCTATAAACGTTTTTACCTAATATTAACATGTAATCTAAGGAAAATTGAGAACAACTGTGGAGAATATGCTTAAACAATTTAAATCCAATATTTTTATAGTCTTTTTAAAATTGGGTTAATACAACTGTCTTCATTGCACAATTATGAAATTCGCAAAAAAGGTACATGTGGCTGAATAAAAAAATCAATTATTATACATTTGGAATTTCCAAATCGAGGAGCTTTAAAACAATTGGACAATAACCAATTAGAAAATATTTAGGAGTTAGTTTTCCCTAGTGTGGTCCAATGGAGAAGAAGGAGCACATGTGAATCCAAGAGTTTATGTCAGTAAGTGTAATCAATAGGTGAGCTGAGTACAAGGTATCTTCTTTCTTTCGCGTCGACCATTGAAACGAACAGACGGACATTTCTACATTGACATTGAAACTGATCAAGAATACATATAATTTACGAGCAGCCATGTCTCGTAGAAAGCAGCGGACTTCTCTACTTCGGTGCTGATTGTTTCACATCAGAAAATATATTGTTGTACATGACGGGAACATATATCGTTTGGGTATCCATGTTTCGCACTACCATATTTCCACTTTGGCACACGGTTTTGGTTAATCCCGTAGAGATAAGCGGGTCTCGGACTCGTATCCGGCAGACTCAACACCTCCGGTGCTGCTGCCCAAGGTTGAGTTGGCGGGGATTTATTTACCCACCCAGTTTTCAACTTATTTTCCACCACATTCAGTAATTTATATGTGCCGAAAGTCTAGTCACAAAAGAGAAAGTCGGATGAGGTGGTCAGGTGACTACGATTGATAACCCAATCCCGATTGCCTCTTATATATAACTGACTTTCACCATAGGTGCGCAGAAAAGTCGAAATGAATTGATCAGCTCTAAACTGCATAACATAATGGTTCAAACCTAATAAGGCACTAATAAGTTTTCTATTCATAAACAGGATTTTGATGAGCATCTTACACTTACTGTATAACTTTGGAAGTAGCATTCATTTCATTAAATAACATTTTGCATAAATATAAATAGAAACTAACCAAAAACCGGTCAGGCTACGCTATTCTTAACTAAGACTGAGAGAAAACTAGCAAAAATAAGTTTTTCTGATGAAATCTTGTGGCTTAGGATATTCTTATATTCTCATAAATTGGTTGGAAGCTTATTTATTTATTTAAAGACGTATAACGACCACATATGCTACCTTCTGTCTGTTACATACATTTGCAAAAAACGTTCTAACTATTGTACCCATTTTTAATGTGCCCTGGCGAATATTATTATTTATATTGTGGTTTTCTTATATTCGTCAATCGTCAATTAAATCGATGTGTCCTTAATTATTAGGCGAGTATAATAAAGAAACGATGCCACCCGACTGCAATACTCTTACATTTATAATAAGTGACAATAAAAAATTATAAAATTCCATTAAAAAATGATTTAATAGGTTATCAAATAATATGCCCACAAGTAAAAAGTTGCGCCACAAAATAATTATTTCAAGAATCAACAAAATAATTGTTATTCGCCACTTGAATAATGTATCTGCAATTTTTGCATACGTCCACTTTGCCAATTTGTATGACTCATGCTGGTCAAGGTCCCGGAATCAAATATTTGAATAGTTGGCATATCCACTCGGAAACATTTAACCCAAACGTTGCCAGAGCTGCGGTTGTTTGGGGGGGTTATCAATCACATATTGTGCCTAGTGAACCGGCAAATTTCCAGTGGCAAATTTCTGCCTTTAGCGCAACCCCAGCAAGTATAAAAACTTGTAGTATAATAAATCACCAATGGAAATGACGACAGCTTCAGAATGTAGGTTGGAATCAAAGTGAGCCTGTAGACAACAGCTGCTTGACTACAAGATACCTGTACCAATTGAATTGAATGCAGTATGCAGTACGCCCCCAATCAGTAGATTGACGATTAAAGTTATTGCAAAATTGGTATTGCTGCTTTTAGCAAATATATTTGATATGAAAAAGAAAAGCAATGATATAAAGAGAAATTTTGTATAGTTTTTAGAACGGGACTTCAAGTTCTATACTACTTTTGCATAACATATTTATTCTTGCAAAACTTGTCATGGCTTAAAGATTTTTCTATTTTGATCTCGATCTAAGAACCAATGCGTATTCCGGTTATCGCGTCAATTTAGATAGCCATTTACTAAGTAATATATATATTAAAAAATTATAAGAGTCGCAAGGAAACTGCACAATGATTATTATTAATCTAAAATTATTATTTAAATATATTTTTACTACTTATATTTTTCAGAAAAGGTTATTTAATTGTTTTTCTTGGACGCACAAATACACCCAGCTTATTTGAAGTATGCGAGCGTATCTACAGACACTATTTTATTTTTATCCTTTTTGGCAGCTCCAACAACACTTGAAGTCAAGAACATATTTTAGTCGGCTTTAGATTGTTGTTGCTCATATTGCAAAGTGGTTCTAGGTAACAAGACGTCTGCTACAGAACTGAGTTGACCAAAGTACTGAGGCTGGCTAAGGAATAGACAAACACAAGTACATACAGACATACACACTCACACACACACACACACACACACACACACACACACACACACAAAATACAAACACACACAGCCCCACTTGGCATTAGCACCATTAATTTTGTAGGCTACACTATGCCCAGGCATTTCTCCTTTTCATAGTGTCGGGTGGCTGTTTGTTTTTGTTTTGTGTTTGTCGCCTGGTTTTGTCTGTTTTCTTGTTGTTGAGGCGAAGACGACGAGAAAAATGGCAAAATAAAAGTGTTTCAGTTGCAAGTAGCAGATAGTGAGTGGTCTGGCTAGCCATATTTATGGAGCAAGTGCCACATCAAGTTGCAGCCGCAACCAGATTTCAACTTTTTATCTGAATCTGACTTTAGTAACAAGTTGAAGCCACAGACAGATATTTCAGCACAAAGTGGCTTAGTTGCTTGGGTCATGACTGAGCTGCTTTTAATTTATATGGCCAAAAAAATGTGTTTTACACGCACATGCACACACTGTATGCACAGCAATAAATTTTCCTGCTTAGTCAAAGCGCTGTCATTCGTTGTAATTTGATGTGGCGTATACGTAATGTTACCTGGGCGCAATACGCATGTAAAAACTGGTCCTGCTCAAGTGGATAATGATAAGGGGCGCTACATTGGTAAAAGTTGAGAGCTTGGGATGTTAGTAACTAGACAGATAGCAATAGTCTTATGCCAGCCAAATAGAGATACTCTAAAAGACAACCCAACAAAGGCATAACAATTTTGGACAAGGACTGTTGAACAGCTGAACAACTGGATAGCGCTTGGTCAACAACAATGCCCAAATACAAAAGCATTTTCCTACACATAATTTCTCATTGGGCTGATGCGAATGTAATCCCCAGTTGCACTAAGTGAAGAGCTGCCTAAACATAAGGGCTACTTTCACTTGGTTGACCAGCAAACACAATGAAAGTGTAAAGAATGTGCTGAAGCTCCGCACCGCACCGCTCGCTCCATAGCTTGCGACTATGTGGTTTTGTATTGTGTCCCTGTCTCCGGAAGCGCATTGTCAGCTCCATTAATGTTGATTATACGTTAATGTAAAGGATCTCAACCAACTGACCGACGGGGCGCGATTCCCAATGAGGGGGCTAAGGAAGATGAGCTTCAGTGGCGTCGGCAGCGGCGACCGCAATGCAATTTTCCTGTGCTTTGCAGCGACGAGACTTTAAGTGGCGTCGAAAAGTTTTGTGCAAAGTTTTAATTTGCATTTTAGAATGTGCCCGCCAGGTTGTCGGGGTGTGTGGCCGGGACCCCAGGGATAATTATAATGCCATTAGCGTGCTTAGTCCACAATCAGATTTAGCCGGAATGCCCCCAAGCCGCTTGCCGCCCACAGATTGGCTGCTTCCACGCTTATCCTGGCAGGCTAGGCGGCAACTCTCCATACTTTTTTATTTTACGACCAGCTTCTATTGCCATGCAAATTCTAATGGAATCCTAAATGTTTATTTACGCAGCAAACGCTGTGAAGTGAATGGGCGTGGCCCTAGCCCCAACTATTTTGTCGCATTTTGCATATTGCAAATGGTCGTGCGGCGCTGCTAGGCAACAATTTAGCTGCAACGCCCCGACCCGACGTTGCGCTCTTGCAAAACAATTTGAGTGGAGCATACCATTTTTGCTGGCTGGCTGCTGGCTGAATCTTTAAGGTCAATTTAAGAATATTGCAAAATACTGTAATCGCATTTTATGCAGCTCTAAATTAAGCGACAGGCAGTAAACTTTAAGAGGAAAATTGAATATTTAACCAGATTTATATTTTCCATAAATATAAATAAGCTTATGTTCGGAATTATCTCTAATATTGTATTTAAAATTATTTTCAGACAACTAAACAATGGGAGTCCACATACGTATCCCAGGAAATAGCACATGATCAATAAAAATTAATGCTGGTATTTATGTTTTTGCCTATGATAATTTTATTTACGATATTCTATTAATGAAATACTTTAAAACTTATCTTTTTAATTACCTAGCTTTCAAAAATCAAATTACTTACCAAAGCCCATTTTAACCGAACTAGCTGATTTGGTGCCTGTTGCAAAGACCAAGAATTTCATCTGCACAAGTTTAAAAATTTATGTAAGCCTTAATGGAAAGAAAACTAGTTGGGTTTATTCTTTTTGGATAAATATATCTTCAACAAAATTGTATGTATTGCATAGCAAATACGGCAGTTAAATGTAATATAAAGATTGATGTTTTAAAGATAATCAATCAATCTCTATATATATAAAACTGTTTTCCTGTCTGACACTAAGTACTGAAGTAACCTTCGACATTTAAATTTAGTTGACTTGCAATTCTTAGTAAAGTTTAAGAATTTGAACTTGGCATACGCAAATATGCGTTGCTTCGTTTTCATGTGCACAACTCGACGACTTATGCATTTCTAGAATTTGTATGGAATGTTCGATTTTTGCCGACATTTGGATGCTATTTGAACGAAGTCAGCGTCAGTGCCAAAAAGAATTGCAACATGTGCGTCAGAATTTCGACCTTAACTTATTTCTCAAGGTTCATTGATTATTGCAATTCGCGCCAAGAATAAACACTGGGTACGGCCTGGTCGGAGAGTTGGCATAGAAGCAAACTTAATAATTCGTTCGCCAACGCAAAAATATCTTCCAGTCGATTTGCACTCGTAACTTTGTCGTTGCCAAATCCTGAGCTTACCTGCCAATTCAGTTCGGGCGTGGAAGTGGCGTTTGCCATAACGCATCACTAAACGGGCTGCACAAAAATAATTTTCCCAGGTTGCAGATGAAACTCATGGTGGTATATAAGAAATTTTTTTCTTTTTATACCCTGAACCCATTGAAAATGGGTAAATAGGGTAGAATGTATTTGTGCAAATGTATGTAACAGGCAGAAGGAAGCTTCTCCGACCCCATAAGGTATATATATTCTTGATCGGCATCACAAGCCGAGTCGACCTAGCCAGGTACGTCTGTTTGTCTGTCCCTAATAAGTGTATACACACACATACATGCATGTCTTCTTTGAATTCTATCAACAGCATTGCAATTGCAATTGTATTGTTTTCTGTGCTGCTATTTAAATTCTTTAAGTAATGCGATCTGTTCTAGGTTCGAACCCTACTGAGGAAACTATTTTTTTTTTTAATTTTTTTTTTTACTAGTAAAGCAAACGAGCGCATTTGGTGTTGGAAGAAGAGGCTTCAGGGTATCCCCTAGTCGGAAGCTTTCAACTAGAGCCTCTTACTTGTTTATTATTAATATATATATAATATATATGTATGTGTTGGGCTTACCCATTTCACTGCCCAGCTGCGTCGCTTGCAGTCTGTTAAAATTAGCAAGTGACGCGGCGAACGATGCCAAACTGTTGATTCAACCCAACGAGCGACCTTATCATTTGAGCATTTCACGCAAAAGCCACACAGCTCCCGAGCTACCTCAACGGCCGTCTGTCTGTCTGGCTGACTGACTGGCTTGTTTTGGAACTGGTTTTCGTTTTGGCGATGCCTGCCGTTCCCTGTGTAAGTGGCTTGGTCTGATCTGGCAGAGACGATGCCGCACATGGATTCATTCAACTTTACGCTAATATCACATGCTTTGATTACAGCACCGTGAAATTTTATTGATTGGCCAGCTAACGTCGCATGAACGATGAGGCAGGCCATCGCCCAAAGGTCGATCCGCTAGGTGAGCTGGGGCAAGCTACAGGTCTTACAAGTTATGATGACGCTGCTCTCGAAAGTGTTTAAAGGTAAAATACACCATGTTTTTTCATTTCCAAAATGACAAAAATAGGGATAGCTTTGATATAAATCGCTAAATCGTTTGATATAGTAAAAAACTACATTCAGATTTAATTTTTTTTAACGATTCAATTTTGTAAGTTATATCACATAATGCTTCCTTGATATTTTTCATACTTGTGCATATTTATTTTTTATCAGATTATATCAACAAACAAAATATTTTGACAAATTTCAAATCAAATGATATAAACAAGATTTACTTGTATAATTTGTGTTGATTGTTCCTAACTATGTTACAAGCAATGCAAATAATGATAATGTGCCGCAAAAAGTCAGTGTCACATGCTATCTACTCGTCGATCAAACTCCGTGTTTCTATAAGTAAACCATTGGCTTTGTAGATGGCTGAGTAAAACGTCCAGGCATTCAATTTCATTCACATTGTCCTTCACACTGTGTGTTGAGTGTATGTCGCAGGAGCTGCCGCCTTCGCGACCATATTAAGTGCCGCTCATGCTCTTGGGCCACTGACTCTGGCCCTGGCTCTGGGTGCCGGCCTTTTGCTACGGGCAAGGCACGAGTAGTTTTATCTATAGAGCCCTGCTTGACAGTTCCAGATTTTCGTTTTCTGCTTCGTTGCTGATGCTGCTCTTGCTTTCTCTGATTGCTCTCATGCCTCCTGTTGTCCTTGTTCGTCCTCAATTTCTTTTTAAAATACGAAAATCCCTCGCGGAGGCACAAAAATGTCGTTGTCGCTTAAATTCAATTGAAATCGCTTCAGCTTCAATGGCAGCCGAACGACAGGCAATCTGTCTAGTCTTTCAGATTGAAAGAAGCGCGAATGCGCGAAATACGGCTTGTTGGATAAATTCTGAGATGTTCCATGATTGAATGATGACACGCGATACGAGCGCGACACACTTACAAATATATCTTGAGCATATTGATAATTTCATTAAAAGTCGACAATGCGTAAGTCTAATTGATTGCAAGCAATTATAATAGATTTATATCTATCCAGAATATGTATACTTTACTTCAACTATTGCTATGGAAAATACATGACATGCATGTAATGTAGAGTCCTCTCGTCGGGAGTGCCCGACTAGGATATTCTCTAGGCTGCCAGCCCAGATTCTTACGCTGCGATTTCACTGCTTCTGCCCCTAGACCTCTTTTATTTTCGTGTTTATAGAATTTTAAGGGCATGAAGATGACATGTAAATAATAGCGGCCAAGACTAAAACTATTAATTTCTTACATTTTATGGGGAACATATTTAGTGTCTCTCGCTCCAATAATTTCGAAGATATACCATAAAATCAGGATTTCGGTATACATTTATATCAATTTCATGAATACATGAATAAGTTATCGTACTCTCTAATTTCACGTCACTAGTTCTTATGGTTTTTGAGATCTACATACGGACGGGCAGAAAGGCAGAAGGACTTGAGTAGACTCGGTAACTTTACGGAGTCACACAGTCTTCTTTTAGGCTGTTGCATTTACATTTGCACAAAAATATACAATAAACCCTTTTATCCATTAGAGTTTGGTATAAAAAAACATATGGACAAAATGATCCGAGGCACAAAATAAGAGGGTGCTTCAAATGGTTACCTGTAACTTATTTTTAAAAATCTGTTCATCTTTGCTGAGGTCGGATCAGCTTAACACTAATGTTACAAGATCTTTGGATTACATGGGCGTAAGCCGTTGATTCCTACTCTTGGTTAATTTTTGATGGTCTTTAAAAATATTTTCAAATATAAATGGAGTTCAAGGAACAAAGTGTAAAGTTATGTCTAACATGTTAAGCAGAAAACTTTTCCTGGCCAAGGCAAAGGAGTACTTGCCAGTATTAACAAATTTCAAGCTACCGAAAATGTACATTTAAACATTTAATAGCCCTGTAGAGATTTGCTTTACGTTTCTACAGATACATCTGTGAGAATAGTGAAACTCGTTAACGTAGACTTAAATTTGTCACGGATGAGGACTGGATGGAAAAGAATTCTGAATCAAAATCTTAAGCCAAAAATTTGCACGGGCAACGCCGGGAAATAATAGCTAGTCATATAATATTTATATAAATTAAAATTAGACAGGCAGAGAAGTGAAATAAGATACATTTTACCACTAGTGAAAGAACAATGAACATGTTCTATGTTAGTGTTGTTGGTAAATGTTGTTATACCTTGTGTGAAATATTCCTCAATTTTATATTGAATTGGTAAAAAATAATACTTTAAACGTAAAATCACCCCAGTTTTCTATTAACCTTAGGTATTTACTGTTTGTTCGTTTTATATATGTACTGCATATCACACATGGTCATCTAAGTGGCGAGTGAATGTTTTGCTTAATGCATATGCGCGCACATACATACACATATGTATGTATGTAAGTATACAAAAACTTGCATATGCATGTTTAAATATAATTAAAAATTTTCATACATATGTACGTACACAATCGTTGCAAATATTGTTGGGCCGTAAATGAAAACAGCTGAGCACGTTCAATTAGCAACAAGTTGTTTAGAGAATCAAAAATATCATTACTCGATTCAGTATCTACATTTTTAGATTACATAGTTGATTAGAGCAATTATGATAAAATTTTGGCAAACACTTTTTGTGTGGCCCGATAAGAAGCCGGTAGTGAATGCCTGAATATCGACAACAGACAAAGAGAATACATGTATATTTATGTACATAACATATCTGCAGGGTAATTACAGCAGCTACATTATGAAGGTATGTGTATATCTTAATTAGTTGTGCGCTCTTAGGCTGTTAAATGGTTGGGACAGCAAACGATTTGAGTAAACGGCACAGCTGTTCAGTGTTTAACAACACCGTCTTGACCAGTGGGAGAGCCACAGAGAATCACAAAGCGAGCTACGGTTCTCGAAGAGTTGTCAGCAGTTTCGACGCGCACAGCACGTACTTGTTTTGCTATAGAAATACATTATATTAAACATTTTTTTGGTGAAACTTTTAGGAAATGCTATAATAAAAATAACTATAAAAATACAAGTTTAAAGTTACCATTGCTGCATTTGGTGAATTCAATAATAACATATATATAATATTTAACAAATGGACTGTCGTCAACTGCACAAGCTATTGACAACCCTGTTTTACTCTCGCGCCGTCGCTGTACACGTCATCAGCTGAGCAGCCACTGCATAGAGCTGCGAATTGTTGTTGTTGTTCAGTGTTTTTCTCTTTACAATTGCAATTGCGACTATATAATTTGTGTAATGTTTCGTCGCACAACTAATTGCAATTTGGGGCAGGCAATAGTGCAACACGTGAAATAACCAAAAAGTGGCGCCTAAAAATAGGAATACACTGACGAAACACGCACGTCCGTGACATTGATTCACATTCAAAGAGGCAGAGAGAAAGCAGCTGCTGGCAGCGAATAAAAGCAAAAATAAAACGAGGAAGTGCCCGTATGTAGCCACCCGCCGCCAGTATCAGCTGCTCGCTCTGGCCGCAAGCAAAAAATTTAATATTATTTTGTGTAAGACAGGCGTGGGCAGAACATTTTTTAGATTTTTTTAACATTCCTTACACTAATATCGTCAAGAAAGGCAGCCAAAGTCAAAACGGCGTTGGCGGCTGCAACG